CACTTGTGTTTTACCCATGACCAATGATCACAGATCTTCATCAACAGCTAGGATAATCTCTCATCCCACCTTTCTTTCTATAATCTCAATATTTTTGCCACCCGCAAGTACCACGTTGTGCTATTTGCCACGGAAGTATGACGGCAACCACGCATTCAAGAATTGCTTAGCCGAGACCCAATCATAGCCACATTGCCACACGGTCAGATGGTTAGATAGTCACTTTGATGTCTACTAACCTGACAATCTTCTTCGTCGACTCCATCTCCGGCCACTCGATGTTGAACATAATGGAGGAGTGCCTGTCGCCTTCGATGCTCTCTTGTATGAAGTAGACCACGTTCTGCGTCACGGTCATTCCCAGCGGACTCTTCTGGAACACCTGATGCGTCAAGGAGCACTGGTCGGTCGGCCACCGCTCTCAACCAAGGTACGAATAGAGTACAGGACGCGAGGAGGAGAGAAGGCATGTCCATAAGCGGGGGCAAGAGTAGCAAGTTTCACCTATGCTCCTTCGCGCAGCAGGATCTTCATGGCAAAAAGCCGAGTGAAGTCAACGAAAAACGACGACCAAAAGTGCCTGTGCTAAGTGCAAAGTGCCGAGCTGCACATTTTCCATCCGTATTGTCCGACTATCTTATATCTACCATAATGTGAAAGCATAATTCCCAAAAGACTGGTGTGATTGACTGTAAAATGATGGGGAGAGGATGGCTAATGGTTTATTGGGAGACAGATACCAAATGACCTAGAGGCAGGCCTGGGACAACCGAGGCCCAAAGAAAGTCCTTGTTTTCCTATTTCCTCGGACACGGATGATACTCCCACAGAACGGGTATAGCCCAAAGATATCGCAGAGATTTACCCTCGGGACAAGTGCGATGTGTCAGAGACAAAGAGTATGGACATCTTACGGATATAAGTATGTCTGGGCGAAAAGACATCCCAAGGATGTCCCTTTCCTGAAGAACGAGCACATCCCAGAGATGTCCCAGGAATATCTGTTTAAGACAAGTGAGAAGTCCCCGGAATCCCTTACGGGTGCCTCTGGAATGGACTCATTTCCTATCACACAGGACAACCCATTACTATTGCAGATGTCTCTATTTGATTTTCTAGGGATAGCGATTCCTAAATACTTGACCAGTAAAAGAGAGACGATAAAAAGGGAGGAAAATTCTGCTCCTGGGAGATCCCAATATAGGAGACATATCTCCAAGGGATAAAAATTTATCACTCTTAGCACAGTCATGGACAATATCTTGAGGTCTGACGTCCAATAAAACGTATGTGCTCAGGTCTCCAATCAAGGTAGTTGTTATCAGAAATGCCGATCCGTCATCATTGATGAGAATACAACGGAATAAATGAAAAATTTTCACTTCCCGTTGTGGCAGCTTTCACGATGGACGGTACGAAAATCTTAATTTATCTCCCGGACAACTCATGGGGTGAAATTTGATGGAAAAGATCAGAGATTGGGGATTAGGGCCCACTGGAGACATCTACTGTCGAAGGTATGCACCTGGCTGAAGTCGACAAAGAGCAGGGAGTAGCCTAAAAATATTCTTAAAATGTCCCGAATACATTTTCCTGAAAATATTGACGAACGTTCGACTGAAGACGTCTTAAAGATGTCCCAATCCGGAAGCATATGGTCGAGGATGTCGTGAGATATCCCGAAAAGGACATCTCAAAGATATCGACAGAAGATGTATTGAGAGAATAAGGATTCTTCTCTCTACCGAAGGAAGTGGACATGCTGCGCAATCCAGCGCCAAATGCAGGTCTGGACAATGGTTGCAGTTGAACTCTCATTTCAAAAAAGTAATTTATCACGCAATCCCAAGCAAGCCCTTAAAAAAATGCCTTACAGGATTCCTATATATATTTATTTACGAATATATAGGAATCCTATAGGTTCCCATACGGTTCAGTATGGGACCTATATGGTTCTGTTTGGAACCTATATGGTTCCCTATAGAATCTATATGGTTCCAATAGAGCTTATAGGTCTCCCATTGGAACATACAGGACCTATAGGCCTCCATTTGGAACCTATAGGACCTATACTGTTCCCTATAGGGCCTATACCGAACCCTATGGGCTGATAGGGTTCTGTTTGAAGCTCTCCTCTAGGGCACTAAATGGAGGTACCGGGTTCTCGTATTTCTCCACCTACACAAAAGTCCCCTCCCCTTACCCATGGAATCATCTCTCACAAGAGGGTTTTGTACATCCCCATATGTCTCGCCTTGCCTTAAGTAACAATCAATAAACTTCGACACTTCCTTATTTCTCATCCCCATCACCCAGATGGAATCATCGAGTCCAGGAGCTAGTTTCTCGAAGCTTCTAAATCTTTTATTTTTCTTAAAACGTGCTAAAACACGGCTATTTCTAATATTTTACTTATTTCCTTCTTAAAAGCGGTTTCTCGAAAGTTCTAAACTCTTTCTATGCAAAAAATTTTCTTGCGTTCAAGAAAAGCTTTAGCATTGGAAAAGACAGCGAAGGAAGTGTGTTATATACATAATCATTAATTTGACCTGCATATTTATGACATTCTAAATGGTACGCAAGTATTTTGTTTCTCGTAGGAGCATTTGCTTCACATACTTTCTTCCACATTCGCATGAGACATGGCGACACGGGAACGTTTTCCCAGGCGAAAATTGCTGAGGAGGGAGAGTGTTTTTCGTTATCACCTTAATTCTCTTGAAAACTATAGGGATCATGAGCTACGAAAATCAATATCGACTGTCGAGATCCCTCATCCTGGAGATACGTAGCATAACGAGTGCTAGCATTCAATGAGGTACCTTCCGTAGTAAAGCATTGAGTCTTCAACTAATATTGAGCTGTACATTGAGATTCCTCGCTACTTGTGCCATCTACTTGTGTTTGGAGATGGACTAGGTATTTCCTAGTCATCAGTTCTCCGTGGCATTCTTATTGTCTTTGAAAATCTTGCTCAGAGCGTGCAAGATTTTGCGCAAATTCCCTCAAACGAAGTGCACAGGGTTAAAACTGATTTCTGAAAATTGAGAAATTTCAATTCCCCAAAGTTATTGGGGAATTGATGGAATCCATATCCCATTGAAGCACCCAAGGACATGGAATACCTCTAAGTGAACAGAAAAGCCTTCCAATCCCTGTATGTACAAATCGTTGTCGATATCAAAATGAAGATATTGAATCTTGTTGATGGCTATCCAGGCAGATCCCATGACAGTCTCATTTTTGAGAGCAGTTATCTCGCCTTGTAGTTGCGTCAGAAGGAAATTCCTGGAGATGGTTGGCTGCTGAGAGAATATGGATACCCACAGCGAAGTTATCTGATGACTCCTTTGATCAATTTTAGACTAAGGAAGAGGTTGCCTACAACCAGGGCCGCCCAGAAGGGGTGGGGGGGAACAATTGGGGCAATCTGACCAGGGCCCCACGTATCTTGGTGTCCCAAGAGGGGCCTCCAAAGGGCCTCAAGGGGTCTCTGGTTTAGTTTTGCCCCCGAGCCCCCGGCAACCTCTGGGCCTACAACACTTGTCAGGCAAGAGCTCGTTCCATCGTCGAAAGAGCAATTGGTTTGCCGAAAGCTCGATTTAGGTGTCTCAGCCGCAGTAGTGGAACTGTCAATCAGAAACTTGGAGTATCAATGTGCCGAATGAAAGGACTCAATCTCCCTTCAGAGGCCGAACGGACTTAAGAAAAAGAAAAGAAAATGTCAAACTTAGATGTTTCGAGAAACTCCCCTTCTAACCTAATTCTAAACTTTTTATGTTCTATTTCTTTTCTTAAAGGGTCCGTTTAAGAAAAGAGTTAGAAAAGATGTAGAAAAAAGTTAGAAGCTTCGAGAAACTGGCCCCAGGCCAGAAATATACTCATATTCTCTTTGAAAACCAGATACAAGAAATAGTAGATTTCATCCGAAGGGAGTTTCAGTAAGGAGATAGTCTTCACAAGTTCTGTCTGTCATTTCCTTGGAAAATCCATAGTCGGTAATTAATTCGCACCAAATTGGTGCCCCAATATTCACCATAGTTGCCATTCCCGTTGTAATGCCAGGGTTTCGAAGCCATAAAAATCCTCCCCGAATCCAATAGGTCAGTAGTTTACGACCCTATAGGGATCCTATAGGATCCTGGAGGTTTTTTGAGCTTCAAAAACCTATGGGAAAGAATATAGGTTTCATATGAAAAAAAAAATAACTTTAGCTTTCATATAGGACATTTCCGTAAGGGGGGGAAGCCTGTAATGTATGCTGAATGAACGTTTCCTTTAACGTTTTCCCAAATTTCATTGACTGCACAAATGTTCGAATTTCACAGGGATCAAATGTATTTCAAATTATGCACTCCTGAACAACCCCAAAAAGATCAAAAGCTTCCTCTTTCGGGATTCATTTGACAATAAAAAAACATGGGAAATGATCGTTTGAATTGCTCAAGCAAAACCTGACCCTCGTGAGGCCACTAAGTAACCCAGATTCCTTATGTCAGATCAGAAATGTGTGAGGCCAGTCTGGCGAATGGCAAATGCAGACAAAAATCAAGCTTTGTACAATTTGTAAAATTCAAGCTTCATTGAAGCAATTATTATCCCGGAGGAGCAGTTTCATCCGTTGAGTGCGAGGACGCGGAACACTGCTACTAAAGCTAATAAATTTTATAAGGGTGAAAGTTGTTTGGGCGAAACAAAAATTTGGGAAGAAGCTTCGCGACGAGGTTCAGGAATCACAAGAAAAAGCATCCAGCCTCTCGGCAACTATCTCATAAGAAAACCCTTTTTGATTGGAGCAGTCTAGGGAATTTGAGAAAGATTGGAAATGCGGTAAATGAAATTGTCCCAGATGCCCGAAGTCGACACCATGGACTGGGTGCTCAATATCGAGGTCTACCTTCGTCACCCAAAATTAGCTTTCGACTGGTTCCATCAAGGAAAATCGGGGGAGATCCGGAAGACCCAAGAAACACTAAGGAGCACAAAAATATTTATTAATGAAGCGTGTATACAGGAAATTCATGCATGAAAAATCGGATTCCCAAGGGTCATGTCCATGTTGAATTACGTTCATTCTTCAACCATCTTCTCGTCTTTCTGGAATTCTGAATTGATATATACATTTTTAAATTATAGATATATTCAACCGCATTTACTCGTCAGGAATACATTAAGACCACATGCAAGCGGAAACTCCAGTGCTCCCTGGTCGAGAAGCACAAGGACAACAGTTCCTTTTCATCGGAAAATAGCATGAAGAGATAGAAGAGTTCTGTTTCATACGATAGAAAATCAAATAATTTCTCCTTGGAAATGGCGAAAAATATATCTATGCATGCATCTCAATCTTTCCCCGAAATTGTTCTGATTCCCTTTACATACGTATATGAGAAAATTGACACAATTTCAGTTTTCAACTTTTCGATTGTTCCTGTCCTAAAGTGGACCTTTGGATTCAGAGGTAGTAAGGGACTTTTTTTTTTACCTGAGTTCAGCCTCGCCTGGCATCGAGGTGCATCCTCCATCTGGACTCCGTGTAGTGCCGCAGATCGAGGATGTACTGCCGGCATGTCATCGTGTAGAGGCGGACGAGAATGCCCTTGGGGAGGAGCGGGATCTTCATGTCGGACGAGGACACCCAGTGCATGAGAGTTCGGGTCGTCCGGTTATCCGGGTTAGGGTGTAGCATCAAGCCGGATCCTTTGTTGATTGTCCCCCTGATTCAGTCAATGTTGTGGGAAAATTAGTAAAATTATGAACTTTACTTATGAGGCAACGCCGTGCATTATTTTCAGAGCTTACTCACTAGAATGAAATGACAAATTTCCTCTGCATTGCCGTTAAGAAAAACCGTGGAAACAAAAATATATTTCGTGAATGGTTACTATGAGTCCTTGTGTCGTGTTGAGATTCAATCGATTCCATGAAAAATTATTAGTACAGGGAATATTAGATTTAGATTGTGCGTGAAGGTTGTGTGTGTCTCAAGGGTGTCTCAAGGGCGGCTTAGGATACCGCTGACTGAACGGTCACCAATGGCTACCAACGACCAAGAAACAGACATCTTTCATCCCAATTGACTTTTCCACAATGCCATCATTTTGGTAACCCGGCAGTAACACGTAGTGCTTTTTGCCATGGAAGCATGTCCGCAACAGCGCTGAAAAGTATTGCCTAGACGAGACGCGAAAATCGCCACATAGCCACGAAAGTCAGATGGTCAGATGAATAGGCTCGGAAACGCCCACAACCTTCCTTCAACCCCTTCCGGGGACAAAATCCAACCGTCTCGTATTCTTCTCTGAACCCTTACGGAAATGTCCTATAGGAAACCTATAGACTTCCCTATAGGTTTTTGAAACACAAAAAACCTATAGGATTCTAGAGAATCCCTTTTGGGTCATATAGGACTCCTGACCTATAGGATTCGGGAGGAATTTTTGGATTTCGAAACCCAGGCATTACGACTGAAAAGGCGACCGGGGTTAACATTGGCGTCGCATTTTCGTGTAAATTAATTACCAAGAAGGGGTTTTCCCTTGGTAGGCACACTGGGACCTGTACTGCTAAAGTCTGCATAATTTATGGCCCCGACCCTCATATGTCGCTGGACTGTGCGTCCACTTCCTTCGGTAGAGAGAAGTATCATTTTCTCTCGACCTAAGGAAACAGACAACGGAACCTGCGAGCAAGTCTCTTTACAGAAACTCCTTCGGAAAAAGTCTATATATTCTCGTGCGTGGTTTTCAAAGGGAATAAGGGTATATTTATTGCCTGGACTCCCATGATTCTATCTGGAAGATGGGGATGACAAATAAGGAAGAGTCGAAGTTCATTGATTGCTACAATGAGGCGAGGCGAGACATATGGGGATGTACTAAACTCTCTTGTGAGAGATGATTCCATGGGTAAGGATAGGGCACTTTAGTGTCCTCTGAGAAATGGGAGAACTCAATCCTTCCATCTAGTGGCCTAGAAGAGAACTTCAAACGGATCCCTATAGGCCTATTGGGTTCCGTACAAGCCCTTACAGGGAACTCTATAGGCCCAATAGGGAACTCTATTGATCCTATAAAGACTCCTACAGGTCCTATAGCGAACCTTACAGGTCCTATAGGGAACCCATCGTGTCCTATACAGCACCCTTTGGTTCCTATAGGGAACCTATAAGCCTTAAGGGAAACCCTATTTGTTCTATAGGGATCCCTATAGGTTCTTTTAGGGGCTCTATTGGTTTTATAGGGAACTCTCTAGGTTCTGTAGGGGACTCCATAGGTCCCAAACTGAACTCTATGGGGCCTATAGGAACCTATAGTATTCCTTGTTCCTTTAGGAACAAGGAATCCTATATTACATTTTCGTAAGGGGAAGCATCGACGTGAATTAAATTTGGCAAATTTCTTATTCTCTCAACACAAAATCGCTCCAGATTTGAAGCTTCATCTCCCCGGGGTTGTGGAGATCACTGAATCTCTCTTTCGGGAGCTGTGGAAGTCGCTCCGGTATTCCCCCCTCCTGGAAGCCACACCTGGGAAGTTTTTGGAGCGATAGGGAGCACCCAAACGAAAGATTGGAGGGGACAAAAAGTCTCCTTTTTTGGTTTCAGTGCACCATTCCGCCATGAAAAATGAAATTAGATGTCGGTAATTTAGTCTTAGCGTGATGGAACAGTCCCGTCCTACAGTGTTGCCGGATATCGTGTCCTGGTAACCCCAGATTCAAGACTTCTTCGACCTTAATGTTGCTGTATGGATCTTCGTGCTGAATTCATGGGATGAACTGATATTGAAGCAGTGGTTTGCAGTTACGGATGAATTTAGCGGAATACGGAGATATGTCATTCATACATCCCTAAATTAACTTCATGCCAGCCAGTTTCCATGTCATGCTTTCTAAAGGCACTTTCTTCTCAGAATGAGTCGATACGATTCGAGGAACTCTGGATAGGCCTAATGTTACCCGAACGCACTGAAATGACTTATGAAACGGAGGAAATACCTATATTTGATCTAACGTAACAAGTTCCCTGTTAAATGTTCTATGAGAGACTGAATAGGTCTACGATTGGCGTAGCGTTACACGTCCTCAATGAGGTGCCTCGAAGAGATGGGGTTTATCTTCATAGGCCTAATTGGTCCTTAGGCCGAGGATTAAGTTTCTTTTGAATGAAAAAGGTAGGCATATGCTGACCCGATGATAATCCTTCAGTTTGGCCTAGGCCTAGCGTTAGCGAGTTACGTAGAGAAGGTGGCTGGGGGTGGGTGAGGTTGAGGTTCAAGGAAGGTAATACCTTTGAAAATTGGTTTCCACATTCCTACATAATTCATTACATAGCCACATAGCCACTTTGACGTATCCTCACCTGACCATCTTGGTCGGCTCTAGCCCCTGCCAGTCGGTGCTGAACATAACATTGGTACGCCTGTCGCCTTCCACGTGCCCGTATCTGAAGTAGACAATATCACGCATGAGGGAGAGTCCCAGCCATCTCTTCTCGAGCACCTGATGCACCAATGCACACCGGTCGGCAGGCCACCGCTGTCGACAGGAGAGCCAAGGAGTTGAACAGGATATCAGTCGTATAATTATTGTTTTAAAAGTTAGTACAAATTAGACTGACATCCACGATTAAGAAATGGCGGCTCGCCAGAGTAGGCCAGGTAAGCAGTGCCTGCCCTGTTTAAAATTAAGGTTTTTCCCTAGCAAGGTTAAAAGCTGAATTAGATAATTTGTTCAGAGTAGGGACGGAGTTTCAAGCCTACGCTGGCTGGGATCAAATCTCTACGAATCCAATGCAGGAACCTGAAGAGGGAGAGAGAGACGAGAGCTGTAGTCCTGGAATAAAACGGGGTGGGCTTGCCCAGGTTGCGAAGTTGCTCCTTGCGTAGGAAGATAAGGATGAGAGGCGCTTCCTCACGCCCTGCGTGCAGAATCACGCGCTTGTAGAAGCCTCGATTGTTTTCACACCTGGTTTGGGTTATATCTTTGCAACTTTTCCTGTCAGATGCAGGCAATTTCCTCGAATGATAGTTCTGATTGAAATATATTTACAATTACTGATTGCAAAAATCCTAAACCTTTAAGTCAAACCTCTAGCCAAAAAGGGGGGGGGGGGGGGTTGAGGAGGGGCGACCGTCCACCCCCCCCCCCCCTTCCGTAAGCACCACTGCTGCCCACCCAACATTTTTACACCACGACCCGTCACTGCGATTAGGAAACACATTCACTATGTTTTTCCTCTGAAAATTGCTTCTCACCCAGGGCCTTAAATACAATTTTCTCCGATTCATTCAAAACCAACGCGAAGCTTCAAAGTTTCTGAGTAAACACGAACGACGTCAAAACCGAGAAAATAAATACGCTGAGTGACAACGTAACATGTAACGGAGTTTCCGAGCCGCGTTGCATGCCCGATGTCGAGAACTTCCGAAAGGAAGAAGAAACAGAAACCGCAATTGAAGGTCACGCCACTGCTGCAGCATCGGTAGCAAACTTTTTGCGAGGGACATGAAAAAGTGACCGATTAAAGGTTTCATCCTTTCTTTTGTCGACATTTCAATTAAAAAAATTCCGGCTGACCCGACCCGACTCTAGGAAAGATTGTAAAAAATTAGGCCGTAGTGGGCCCGCGAGTCGGGTCGGGTTGGGCCATGGAACGTGCAGGACCCTAACCCCCGGTTCCTCCAGTAGCAAAAACGACTGCTGTTTTACCCACAAAACTTGTATCTTTTTCTTTATTCTTGGAATTGAACATGGGACCACAGAGCGGCATTGGTTACTCAATTGTGGAAAGTCGTAGCAATGAGGGTAAATCACGTTTGTGTGTTTACATGTATATTTGAGTGACCAGTTAAACAGTTTCCGATTTAAACTTCAACTAAGGATGCGAACGGGAGAACTAGAGCATGAGAGAAGACCTACTATAGGATCGACAGTGCGGGTTCGGATCACAAATAGCATGATAATTATGGAGTTCTTCGACGGCCTCGCTCCAGCGGGTCTCGCTACCCATGAGTTGACTTGAAACCGTAATATAAAAGCCATGGTTGTCAGTCATCTCGATAACAATGTCCAACTATGCCTCTGGAGATCAAACGACGACGGTTTCCAAGCTGTGTTGCTTTGACTCTCCGATGGCAACGATGGCATCAATAACAATAATGTCGTGCTCCGAGAGGATTTCAACTGAAAATACAGTCTCTTAAAGTCAATTTCTAAAATTCCAAGCAATTTTTCTCGTTTTTCGATGAGAGGCAAGACATGGATTTTCTACAACTGCCATTCTATGGCGGAATTCCAAGCATCTCTTTTCAAATCATAAACCAACAGGATTTTGAGTATTTATGGTGAAATTTGGAAATAGCTACATTCTTATTTCGCTATATTTGCGCAGAGCTCCGTATCCCAGAAAATGCTGCACCTTTTTCTGGCCCTCTCAGTATCTCCTTGTCGTGAAATCGGAATTAATCACTAATATCGAAATTATGTAATAGGTACAATTGCAAATTCCAAAAATAGTACACCATAAATATGAATTCCTATCTAAGGAAATGGGATTTTCGGGTTGCACACAACAGGTGGCTATTTCACTGTTGTTGCAATGAGATCGAATTGCAATGCCAGTTGTTGGAAGTAACATCCAAATCGAGAAATCTGTTTCGTTCGCAAATAGATATTGCGCGATACGTCGTGAAAGGCCGTGGAAAGTCCCTCACTCTGCAAAATCGACGAATTGGAAACACTCGTAGTTCTCGTCAATTCTGATCACTCCTAGCCCAGAATATTAAAAAAATGCATACCCGAAGATGAATGTCTCCATTACCGTGTCGGGTTTTTCTTACCTGCTTACTAAAGAAATGGCACGTTCCCTTCAACCTCCCAAGAGACACAATTGGGACGAACCTGGACGACCGTGTATTCCTTGCAGACGGAGGACCATTCGGCGGTGGCCTCCAGCGAGTGTTCCAGCATGTCTTGGGCCAGCCAGTCGTTCTCGAAGTCAAATGTGGCCTGCAACGGAAGTGAGGGCATGGGGAATGGGTAGAAACTGCACTCCATGCAATCGAACCCATTATTCTTTCATTTCGACTGTATGAAGTCTTTAGTGTATCACAAAAGTTTGTGGTTGTTTTTTAAGTAATTTTTTTTTCGTTTAAACGTTTAAAACGTTTTGCATTTCGTAAACATACCATTTTATAGTATTTATATTCTTCTTTCCAATGAGAAAAAAAACCGGCGTTTTGGCTTTCTTAAGAATGAAAGCGAAAAGAGAAGCCATAATGTGTTTGCATGACTCGAGAATGCGTATTTGCGAGATTTCTTGGCAACTGAATGGGATAGATTTTACTCTCAGGAGAGCGATACGAGGAGCTCGGTACTTCGTCGGTTCACCCTCGCAGCGGACACCCGCGCACTGCGGCTGACGCTGCCCATCGAGATAATGTCTGTCGACGCCTCAAGAGGAAAACGCGCTGGGGGAGGTTGGGCAGGAGGTGGGAATTTCGCACTGAAACAACCGCTTGCACCGTTCGAGTCTTGTCGCCTTCATCGTCTCAGTCAATACTTTCCAGGTTTGCAGCTTGTAAGCCTTGAGTCCAAGGTTTATTTTATGGAAATTGTAGTCATTACCCAAACAAAATTGCAGCCTTTTAATGCTAATTTGTTATGAATTATATAGTCTAACGCATTTTGTATATTACACAAATTATTCTAGGTGTCACGTCCGACATCGTGGACAGACCCACATGCTTCTTTGTCTCCACGACAGAATTCCTCAAGTAGAAAGTGCATTTTTAAGGTATTCTATGTGAATTCGAACAAATTCTCGCCGAAGCTGACAATTTCGTTTCGAGGGGATTAAAAAGCCGAATGAGAAAGAAGAAAAAAATGTTCACCATTGTATATAGGAAATAATCCTTTATCTCCTCATCGTACACAGACTTGATGGTGATTCCTTCCTCGGGGAAATCCTTCTCCAGAACCCAATCTTTCCTCTCTAGGTTAAAGAGGAACTTCTCCAGCGCCCCTTCCCCTTCATGCTTGCATTCCTCGTTCCCGAGCTGCAAACCAGTTAACGAGAGTAGAATGCACTTATCTTGTAGATATCTATTCGGCCGTCCGCTTGACAAAGCTCGAAGGAAAGAAAGACGTGATGTGCAGCACATCCCCAAAGAACGTGAATGTGGAAGTCGCGTAAGGTGCCGCACTTGCCGTAAAAGAACCGTATTCTTTCGCGATCGTTGGATCCTAAGGAAACTCTACGGGATTCCTAAAGGAATCCTATAACATTTTCATGTTTTAATAATCTCATCGGATCGTATAGGATTTCTTCGTAAGGGTACATACCATGTTTTTCTTCATGTGTTAGCCTCGGCAGGTTGCCAATGTTCTTTTAGACACGTTCATTGGAATGAATCCTTTTCATTCCAATTGATATCGGAACTTTGAAATAACGTGGAGAATTTGCTTATTCCTAATGTGGACAAGGACGGTGTTCAAAGGTGGCGAATACACGCTAATTACGTTCATGCGGTGTTGACCTGCTCAACAATAGCAAATACATTGCCATGAAAGCTCCTATAATGTGGGCGAGACCAACATTACCTTCCAACTTTTATTTTGGACGCTAGTATATATAATATTTTATGTGAAAATCGATACCTTATTAGCTTTAAGTGAGCAGAAATATGTGGGTTTATTGGTGACCGCTACTAGCGTCATTACCGAATAATTCTTAACCATTCCACGATGATATCCACTAATGGATACGTGAACATGAAAACATCGGCATGTCTGAACGATGTCTAAGAGACATGCCTTAGACGTTGAGCATGGTCACGCGCACTTTCGCCCCAGAAGGGCGATTTTTTTGATAATCGGGTCCCTCCCCTCCGAGACGGAGTATTTCCGGACTTTTTCTCATCTGATTGAATGGCGGGTCGACTTCAATGCATTTGTGTGGCATTGGGGCGCATGCACGTATTTCACCTCCCTTATGTAAATGTCCTATAGGAAACCTATAGAGTTTCCTATAGGTTTTTGAAACAAGAAAAACCTATATGATCCCTATAGGGTCTTATAGGTCTCCTGACCTATAGGATTCAGGGAGGATATTTTGGGTTTCGAAACCCGGACATTACGACGAAAAGGCGACCGGGGTTAATAATGGCGCAGCATCTCAGTGTAAATCAAAAACCGATTAGTGGTTTTCCATGATAGGGACAAATGCATTATTAATCCCAGTACTGCGAGGGTCTGCATAATTTATCGCCCCGCATGTGCCGCTGGATTGCACGTATACTTCCATCGGTACGAAGAAGTAGTTTTCATCTTCCGACCTAAGGAAATGGAAGACAGAACCTGCGAGAACGTCTCTTTACTGAAACTCATTTGGGATAGGGTCTACTCAATTTCGTACGTGGTTTTCAAAAGGAATAAGGGCATATTTCTTGCCTGAACCCCATGATTCTATCTGGAAAATGGGGATGACAAATAAGGAACTGTCGAAGTTTATTGATTGCTACAATGAGGCAAGGCGAGACATTTGGGGACGTACAAAACTCTCTTGTGAGAGATGATTCCTTGGGTAAGAGGAGGGCACTTTTATGCCCTTAAGGAATTTGAGAACCCAATACTTCCATCTAGTGGCCTAGAGGAGAATTTCAAACGGAGCCCTATAGGCATATATTGTCCCGTAAGGGAACCCTATAGGTCCTATAGCGAACGCTATAGGTCCTATAGGGAACCCCATAGGTTTTATATGGGTACCCTACGGGTCCTATACAGAACCCTTTGGGTCCTATAGGGAACCTATTGGCCTTATGGGGAACCCTATTGGTTCTATAGGGGGATCTATAGGTTGTATGGGGAAGTCTATAGGTCCCAAACTGAACTCTATGGTGCATATAGGATCCTATAGGAGTCCTTTAGGTTCCTATAGGATTCCTATAGGTATAGGTTGTATGGGGAAGTCTATAGGTCCCAAACTGAACTCTATGGTGCATATAGGATCCTATAGGATTCCTTTAGGTTCCTATAGGATTCCTATAGGATTCCTTTAGGTTCCTATTGGATTCCTATAGGATTCCTATATATTCCTAAAGGAAAGTATAGGAATCCTATAAGACATTTTCGTAAGGGCTATTTCTTCTCACGTCGACTTTATACGGAACCCAATCAGTCTGAAGAGCGGGAGGAGGTTGAATGTCGACGGGCTTCTCACCTTCGTGACTGAGGTGTTTCCCGGCAGCAGATGATCTTCCAGGAGGATGTCTTGGAGGAAGTGCATGGTCTCCAGGATGAACCCAAGGACAATTATCGTCTGCATCTCTCCGGTCGCCTTGCTTCCTCCGGCGAAGTGCCCAGGTGAAGGCAATTTTCACTATTCTTAGAGTCGAAAAATCCTCTTTGGATGCTTGCTGAATATAAAGATTTTAGTAAATTTAGAAAAATCTTTCCTCCTCCAATCATTCCCTCTCATGATATGAACCGGTTTTTATCTTTACTCTCCCTTTTTCCACAATCGACCGAGCGGAATGGTTTTTACCTTTAGAGAAAACATTTTCCTGCTTTCTCAGGAGGATAAGGTATGAAGAGTTGTTCTCCATCTTGCCCGCTTATATGCAGGAAATTGCATACCCTTACGAAAATGTCCTATAGGATTCCGGCATATTCATTTAGGAATATATAAGAATTCTATAAGAATCTTATAGGATCCTAAAGGAATCCTATAGGTTCCAATATGCACCATAGAGTTCAGTTTGGGACCTATAAAGTTCCCTATAGAACCTATAGAGCCTCCTATAGAACGGAAAGGGATCCCTTTAGAACCAATAGGGTTCCACAAAAGGCCAATACGTTCCCTATAGGACCCAAAGCGTTCTGTATAGGACCCGTAGGGTTCCCTATAAAACCTGTAGGCTTTCCTATAGGACCTGTTGAGTTCGCTACTGGACCTATAAGATTATCCATAAGACCTACAAGTTTCCCTATAGGGCAATGGGGTTCCGTTTCAAGTTCTCCTCTAGGCCACTAGATCGAAGTAATGGGTTCACGCATTTCTCAAAGGGCCCAAAAGTACCCTCCCCTTATCCAAGGAATCATCGTTCACAAGAGAGATTTGTACGTCCCCAAGTGTCTCGCCTTGCCTCATTGTAGCAATCAATCAATTTCGACACTTCCTTATTTGTCATCCACATCTTCCAGATAGAATCAAGGACTCCAGGTAAGAAATATGCCCTCATTCCTTTTGAAAACCTCGTACGAAACTGACTAGACACTAACCAAATGGAGTTTCAGTAGAGAGACGTGCTCGAAGATTCAGTTTTCTATTTCCTTAGGTTGAGAGATAAGGACTACTTGTCTATCGAAGGAAGTAGGCGTGCAATTGTGGGGCCACATATGTGGGGTGGGCCATCTAATATCTAATATATATAGACGATCGTGACTGACTGACTGACTGAAATCTGAAACTTGGTGCACATGCACCTTTTGGGGTGCAGAGTTCAGAAAAAATCCGACTTTGGAGGTACATGCCCTGGGGGTACACATTTTGGGGGTAGAAGTTTTTTTAAAGTATACATCGTGATGGATAAGGATGTCATCGAAAGATACCATTGTGTGGTGTGTGTCGTGTGGTGTATTGGTAGCACATCGGACCGGTAATCGTGAGACCAGGGGTCAAATCCTGGCTATTACTAGTATTTTTTTTGCCTCTCTTGCCTTCCATGTCCCGTTGGTTGAATAAAACGGAGAGACATGGAAAGCTGAAACGTGGAATGGACGTGCCTACCGACATGATGAGTTCAAGAAAAATGCGAAATTTTATAACCATGCCCCTGGGTGCATATATTTGGGGGCCAACAATTTCATGTATTTTTTTTTGTCGTGGTGTATAGAGCTAGTGTGGAAAGATGAAACTTGGTACATAATTACCTACCGGGATGCTGCCTGCAGAAAAATTCAAACTTTGGAATGAAATGCCCTGTGGGCATGAATTTCAAAGGGAGATGTTTTCACATAATTTTGTTGCATTAGTTAAACCGATGGACATGGAAAGCTGAAACTTTGCCTAAATGTGGCTACTGAGACGAGGAGTTAAAGAAAATGTTAAGTCTTGATACATCCCCGGGGGAAAAGTTCAGGTAAGTACGTGTTTGCTATTTCGCAAAGAATAAATGAATTAATCGCTATCCAAGGTATTGCAGCACCGAAGGCGCGACCACAGCGAGTTGGTTTGCCCGAAGGGCAAACAAACTCGCTGTGCATCGATATATGGACGATCGTGGCTGACTGACGTTAACTCAAAGGATGTCCTAAAAGTTTTAGAAATCTGAAACTTGGTACACATGTATCTTTTGGGATGCAGAGTTTAGGAAAAATCTTACTTTGGAGGTACATGCCCTGGTGGTACAAATTTTGGGGGAAACCTTTTTTCTAAAACATATTTTGTGACAGATGAGGATGGCATTCAGAGAGTCAACTGGATGTGCTGGGTTCGGTGTTTTAGTAGTAGCATCTCTGACTGGCAATCATAATGTCCGGATTCAATTCCCGGCCATTCCTTGGCTTTCTTTTGGCCTTTTTTGCCTTCCATGTCCCGTTACTCATTCCCACACATTAACATTATTTTTGCTTGAGTAAAACGGAAAGACATGGAAAACTGAAACATGACATGGACGTGCCAACCGAGCCGATAAGTTCAGGAAAAATGGAAAATTTTAGATCCATGCCCTGGGGGAATACTTTGAGGAGCCGACGTTTTCATGTATTTTTTTTTGTCCTGGCGTATTAAGCTTGTGTGGAAAGATGAAACTTGGTACATAACTACCTATTGGGATGCTGCAGAAAACTTCATATTTTAGAAGCAAATGCCGTGGGGGTACAAATTTTAAAGAGAGACATTTTCAACAAACTTTTCTTTGCATCAGTGAAACTGAAGAATATGGTTAGTTAACGCTTTGCATTAATGTGACTACTGAGACAAATAGTTAAATAAAAATGTTTAGTCTGGATACATCCACTGGGGGAATTTTTTTCAAGGGGCGATGTATGGGAAAAAATTGCTGTGGCGAATTGGACAGAAATGGAAAGATGAAAGTTGCACACATACTGTATAAGTGAAATGATATTACTGAGTTGAGGGAGTATTCAACTTTCATAGTGCATCCCCTCCGGGCATACCCTTTGGGTGGGTCGGCTTTTCAAGCATGTTTCTTCACCAGTGAAAAGGTCAAATGTATAATATTGAAACTTTGTGGTCATGTAGTTCAATGGGCAGACATGGAAAAGTAGCTGGCGCATGGGTCACTGATGTGATGTTGATTTAAGGAAAAAGTAAACTTCTTTTATACGTCTCCTCAGAGCACAGCTTTTGGGCGTGTCTCTTTTACAAATAATTTTCTTTTCGCCAGAAAAGAAGGGAAACGTATGAGGCTGAAACAGGGTGGCATGGAGTTCCTTGAATCAACATTTCAAAAGAAAGCAAATTTTCGTATTAAACCCATCAGGGGACTTTTTTCAGTCCCATTTTCCTGTTTTTTTTTTGATTCAACGAAACAGAGACAGAAAATTTAAACTTCTCTCAGAAGTACCTGTTTGATGGCTGAGGAGAGTAATAATCCTAATTTTGAAAGATGTCACCTTAGCGTAATTATTGAAGGGAAGTATTTCAAAATGTATTCTCCACCTTTACAAATAGGGACACAAGAATATATTTCAAGTTAGGCACACATACGGTAGAATCATATAGGTAATGCCTTTGATAAAAATCAAGACTTTCGATCCCATATATCACATATTTAAATTGGGATGTACTTTAAATACGTGTTTCCCATTTCGGAAGAAATTAATGAATTAATCACTATCTGAGGAACTATATTGCCAAAGGCGCGACCAATTGTTTGCCCGAAGGGCAAGCAAACTGGCTGGCATCTAATATACAGGGTGGGCCAAAAGTTTTTGCCCCAGTATAAAAAGGTGAATATCTCCTAAACGGTTTGGGCTACAGAGTAAAAAAAAACTGAAAGAAAGTTCATTTCATGCTCTTTCTGAAAATATATGGTTTTAGGTTCCTGCATTCATTTGGAGATGAGTCATGGTCGTTAAAAAAAAACATACCGAAAAAAAAAGTTGGCAAAAAGAACCTATACCGTGCCGCGCGCAGAAATCATCCTCAGCAGCTGGCTTCAAGTTCGCGCGCGCCGTCGTTTTCTTTCTTCCTAATTCCTCCCTACCTTCTTTCCCTTCTTCATAATGTGAAGGATGAAAATTTGAAGACTTTGATGCTTGATTTGGATAACCGACCAGCAGAAGATCGTGACAAAAGTTAAACGACCTCCGGTGGTCTACTCGGCGCGTTTTGCTGATTGCTCGTCTTTGCACTGTTAATTTTTTTAATTTACCGTTTTTTACCGCATATTCAGAAACCCTTACAGGGAAAATGGGTACAAACTGTGTTCTAACTGAGAGTGATAGAGTTTTAATCCGGTCGCTTCGTGTAGAGAAAGGATTAACCTTGAACCAAACCTTGCGTGAATTTCCCCATCGAAAATGGAAAAAAAAAGACTGCGCGTTATATCTTGCGAAAACTGTGTGAAACTGACAGTGCTGAACGTCTTCCCGTCACAGGCCGTCCCAGAAGAGCAAGAACGCCAGAAAACATTGACGCTGTGACCAATTTTCCCTGTAAGGGTTTCTGAAAAAGTGTTTTAAAAAAGGTATAAAAAAAATTAACACTGCAAAGACGAGCACTCCGCACAACGGGCGGAATAGACCACCGGAGGTCGTTTAACTTTTGTCACGATCTTCTGCTGGTCGGTTATCCAAATCAAGCATCAAATACTTCAAATTTTCATCCTTCACATTATGAAGAAGGGAAAGAAGGTAGGGAGCAATTCGGAAGGAAGGAAACGACGGCGCGCGACCTTGAAGCCAGCTGCTGAGGATGATTTCCGCGGGCGGCACGGTATAGGTTCGTTTTGGCAACTTTTTTTTCCGGTATGTTTGTTTATAACGGCCATGACTCGTCTCCAAATGAATGTAGGAACCTAAAACCATACATTTTAAAAAAGAAGATGAAATGAACTTTCGCTTAGTTTTTTTTCGACTCTGTAGCCCAAACCGTTCAGGAGATATTCACATTTTTATACAGGGGCAAAAACTTTTGGCCCACCCTGTATATAGACGATCGTGAGTGACTGACTGCCTGACTGTCTGACGCTAATTCTAACCATGTTCTAGAAATGTTAGAAATCTGAAACTTGGCGCACATGTACCTTTTGGGAAGCAGAGTTCAGAATAAATCCCACTTTGGAGGTATATGCCCAGGTGGTAAACATTTTGGGGGGAGAAATTTTTCTTAAAGGGGTATATATTGTGACCGATAAGGATGGCATCAAGAGAGACAGATGGTTGCCCTGATTTCTATTGTGCAGCGGTATCACACCCGACCGTCGATCAAGAGGCCATGGTTCAATTCCCGGCCAATCCATGGTTTTCTTTGTTGCTTTTCTTGGCATCCATGTCCCGTTACTCATTCCCTTCCATAACATTAATTATGCTTGAATAAACCAGAGAGACATGGAAAGCTGAAACATGGCATGGACGTGCCTACCGAGCCGATGAGTTCAGGAAAAATGGAAAATTTTAGATCCATGCCCTGAGGGAATATTTTGAGGGGCCGACGTTTTCAAGTATTTTTTATTCCTGGCTTCTGTAGAAAGATGAAACTTGGGACATAAGTACCTATTGGGGTACCTTGTGCAAAGAAATTCAAATTTTGGAAGTAAACGCCC